GCACGCAGCTGCCAGCACACAGAAGACCATGGTCCTACCTCAGAAGGGGAGCAGGGTATCCCAGAGTGAAAACTTAATTAATTATAATACTAAGCACTGTCATGATGCCTTTACATTTACAAAGCACTGGGTAAACATTAACTAATTAATCTACTGTACTTAGCAATTATATAGTTCTTTATATTTTCCAGATCCTGTACAAACATTAGCTAATTAATCTATTTCATTATTTCCGTGTTTTATATTCCAGAGCACCGTGTACTGGCAGTCCAAGGAGGAGGCTTTAACAGGGATAGTAGCATGCACATTCAGCTTTTAGGTGCCTGATACATTTTGGGGAAATGTATTGAGAAGGTGCCAGCAGTCTTGGACAGTCCTGCCACCACAGCATGCCAAGAAAAGTAGACCAGTCGAACTAGAGAAAGATCAAGCATTTTCCATCAGAAAGACTCTAAAAGAACAGAGTCTGCCAATCACATACTCTCCAAACAAGGATTGATGTGCACCCCCTCATGCAGAGCCACAGCTCTCTGATTACTGCATTTTAACATTGTCAACAGCGCTCGCTGCGGCATTTGCTGTGCTCTGTTGACCTTCAGTATTCCCGATCCAGCAATCTCCACCAGGGAGCATTTCCGAGGCCCTAAGTTCATGACAACAGGTATCTCCAGTTCACAAAATACAAGTAACTGTGTTGTCATGACTGTTGAGGTACAGGACAGGAGAGGTCAGGCAACAATCTTTACGACACAGGGAAGGGAGGCTGTGGGGACAAGCCTGGATCACTGAATCACTTTTTCCTGTGTCTCAGATTGTTCTGCTGCAGATGAGGTCACCCTGCATCAGCTGCTGCACAAAGTGCTGCACTGTTGTACTTTCTGAGCAGGGTCTTCTGTGATAAAAGGCTCTCCCTCCTTGAAAAAATTGTGGAGTGGTGAGCAGACCCCTAAGCACCACAAGCTTGGCCTCTATAGGCTACTAGACCAAGCATCTAATCTCGTCTGCAACCAGTGTGTTATATATCCATTCAGTAGGAAATTATTTGTAATAGTCCTGTTCTCACCTGAAGCCTGGCAGCATGCATGCCCCTTTCTCCCAAAGCCTGCCCAAAAGGGCTGGTCCTCCCTCCCTGCAGGTTACAGACGGTGGTGGCAGCCAGCTCCATCACCACAGTGTCCTGTCCTGGAAGCCTGGAACTTCCAACACTAGTAATCTAGAAACCATGGAAGTATCTTGTGACACAGAGAAGTGCCACATGCAGCACAGCCATGGTAACCTTGTGGCCCCACGGAGAGCAGGGGCTCACCTCTGACACTTGTGGTGAGGGGAAAGGAGCGAGGGTCTGCTGGAAGCACTGACTCCAGCCTGGGCACACACACCCTGAGTGTGCTGTGCTGGGGACAGGCCTGGGCACCTGCCCAGATAGTGGAGCAGCAGCCCCTCTCTATGCTGGCCTTAGTCTGAAGGGACCATGCACCATAACCACCATATAAATCATGGAAAGTCACCTCAGATGCAGGTGAAATGCTCCCACATCCATAGGATGAGCTGCATGTCCAGCACAGTCTGTCTGGCTCACCAGTGAAGTTGTCTTGGACCAAAGAAGGAAATCGTTCTCTTGTCAGAGTTGCTTTTTTAATATGCTGGTCTGTTCAGTCTTGATTAATTCAACTTCATGTCCGTGTGTCTTGCAAATTAATTGGCAGAAAAATGGAAACCATTAAAAACATTAGTTTCTTCCATGTTCCCCTGAAGCAAAACACTGCAGTGCTGCCCAAGGCTTGCAAGTCCCGCTCAGCAGGAGTACAGAAGGAGTCCTGGGCAAGAGTCCTTTGGCAGTCTCCTTTGGAGACTCCTTTGGCAAACCTATCCATGACCCACCAGGTGCCATGAGAGAGGCTACAGCAGCAGTGTTAAAATTTAAATTGGTTTCATTCCCATGGATCTCCTGGGACTGCACTTCCTTTGCCTACTTTGTACTTGACTGAGAAGCTCATGCATGTGAAAGGCAAGTACCCCAGCCATAGTTCTGGTGATTATTTAGAGTTACATTAACAAACAGATCAAGTAGACTGCTTAATAGACACATAATATTTCATTTTTCATTATAACCTATTAAAGATGGATTCTCTCAAGTTGCTGTAATAGAATAAAGCTTTCTGAAAAGTTGATTTAAATACAACTACTCAGAGGGACAAACATCTGGCATTCAGCTATTTTTGTGTACCTGAAAAGATTTTTCTTGTAACTGATACAATGAGCACTGCCTATGGGCACTGGTAATTGTAGTTCTGATAGAGTTGGCATTGGCATTATAATACTAATTAGTAACTAGTCTTTAAATTTGGAGTAATTACAGGACTATGCATCTGGGGTTAAAAAAACAAAACAGCCAAAGCCCTAAAATGTTCATGAAATATTTACCCATGCTTGAACTTGCACACCCCAGCCTGATTCTGAAAAACAGGAAGTGTTCATTCACATCCTGGCTCTGCCCCACAGGTGACAGCAGTGCTGCTCTCAGAGCAGCATCCAGCCCAGGCAGATGGGTACCCAGAAGCCTGACTCCTCCAGCAGTTGCACTCACATCCATTCCTGGGAAACTGGGGCATGGGCACACTGCAGAAGGGAGCAAATGGGGTGAGGGGGAGCTGGGACAAGGAACCAGGTAGCAGTGCCACAAATCCTCCCAGAGCATGTCAGCATTGCCCTCCCCACTGCAGGAAAAAGCACTCAGGGCACAGGATAAGTGAACAGATTTTCTTCCTACAGGAAAGACCTAAGAGAAAATTGTAACCAATGTAAGCAAATATAAACAGATAACAAAACTGATGCTGACATGGCCAAACAGCAGTGCAGAGCAGTAGCAACCACCAAAGCCTCTGCTCCCTGGCATGCACAGCCTTCCCAGCAGCAGCATTCCCACCGTCCTATGCCACAGCCCCCACAGCATCCTCTCATGGGTGAAGGTGCTGTACACACCTGCAAGGAGATGAGGAGCAAGCAACAGGATGGCTCCAAGCACCAGCACTTCTCAGTCTCACTCTAGAGTACTAAGAGCCATGCTTTGCATACAAAAGACATCTAGCAGAGGAGAGAGGATCTGTGTTGGGGAGAGGGTCAGTATCCAAATGAGGACAAGGCCAAAGAAGGAAGATAGACATCCAGTGCTTCTTGGGAGCAGGAAGATTTTCATGATCCACCATGGCCCCTCGGTAAGATCAAATCAGACAGGGAAGCAAGCAAGGGGCAAAGAGGCACATTCTTTCCCAAGGCTTCCTGAGTCTTCAATTGCAGCCAGATACAATCAGCTTGAGATTTGGAGGGTTCCACACGTCCTCTGCAATAAGCAGCACCAGCACAAACAACAGCTGTGACACATTTCTGCCACAGAAGAAAACAACTAAATGGTCCAATGGACAAAGGCTTGAGGTTGGGACGCAGCACCTGCCAAGGACCAATGCTCCCAGCAGCCTGATTTCAGCATCACTCCACAGCTGAATCAGACACACCATCCCCAGCCTGCTTGGACCAGCACCCTACAAACCTGTGCAGTCCTGCAGCCCCACTGCTGGCTCAGGCAGCAAGCCCAAGGTTAAATCTATGCTCAGCAGCTGTTTCCTGCCCTCTGCTCTTGGGGAATCCCCTCTGCACATGCCAGGTGGAAAGGAAAGCAAGGCTGAGCACCTGGATGAGAGATAAGCAAGCCATGGTACTGTGCCTGTTGCTCTTAGGGGAGCAAGGGGTGAATCATAACTTCATCAGCCTACAAGTAAAAGAACCAATTATCTGGCAATTGTATGCAGTGTTTTCAGTGAGAGGCTCGTAATCTAAGCAGCCCTTGTAGTCAGGGGGAACAAAATATATGCTGACATCAGTATACAGAGGTTCCCACTGGAAGCCACTTTCACTGCAGTGTTGTGAATCTTTTCAGAAGCAGCTTGAAAAGATTTACTCAGTGTATCAATCTTCCTGGGGAGCAGAGCTGATGATGGTTGTACATAATAATGCCTAAGCCAGTTCACATGCACTGTTAGTGGCTCTCTACAAGTCCTGGCCCTAATCAGTGCATTAAATACAAACATAGAACTAATAACTCTGAAAGGGCCTCTCCAGGGGCAGTGAAATCCCTCTGCCTTGGCCACTGTCAGCTCCTCAGGCTTCTTCTATAGTGCCACAATCTCCCCTTGACTCCAAGAGGGAGAATGGAAAACCATAACTCTTCTCTTTGTTCAGGTGACACATTTTTTATGAGCCAAATTCTTTACTTTAGGTTTTGATGGTGATTCTGTGACTTTATGTTTGTCCTGTAATCACAGGACTCCTCTGAAGCAGGAGCACACCCTGTAACTGCTGCTGCCTTAGCTTGTGCTGGAGGGGAAAAAGCTGCCCCACTGCAGCCCCCTGAAACAGCCCTGGCTGCCCACTGCTGGGGTACCATGGGTGGGTGGGTGCCCAGCTCTCCACCACACAGCTCCCCTCTGACAGCAGTCAGCCTGCACAGGCAGTCCCGCACTCTCCCACTCTACTGCCATGAGGAACCCAGGAGCTGCAAGCCAAAAAGCAGCTTAATGGAGCAGGTGACTCAGAGCTCTCTGGATCAGGACCTCCCATGCAGTCAGGATTTCTTGAGCAGTATTTCTTTTGCCATACCTGTCATCATGCATACCCCATGGGGGTGGCACATTGGCAGGGATGGAATAACCTTAAATACCACATCTTCTGCAGAAAGCATGTGATGCATACTTACCCGACATCCATGTTCTCCCATACTGCTGGGACTACTCTCTCCATGTGCAGGAAAATCCCTCTAGAAGCAGCATAATGCTGCTGCAGACTTTCCCATGTAACAGACTCTGTGTGTCTTTTTCTTTCTTTTTGATTCTTGTGTTTGTTTTTTTTTTAACAGGTAGATCACCTTAAAACTTCCCCTTTCATCATTTCACAAACAGAATCTGACCATTAATCCCACGTTTATCCCCTGTGCACATACACCTCTGGTTACTGCAGATGTGGGAGTCCCCCATTTAATCAATGAAATAAGCAAGAACCTAGTTTGTGCTGCCAGGGGAATGTGACATTGGAGAGAGAACACAGTATTCCCCCTTCCTTATCTTGGAGTGTGCTTTACTGCTGGCTTGAAGGCATGCCCTGCACTCGGGCCACTGAGGAGGTAATGCAGGACACTCCAGAGGAGGCAGCCCCTGAACACGCCTTGAGCTCGACTCAGGGTCACTGCCATCACTTGTCACAAGTTTGTAGGAATGAAGCGTCATCCTAGATCAAAGTCTTGTGAGTGGCTTCCTGCGAAGAAAGGAGGTAGAAAAGAAAGCATCTTACAAAGCAGATTAAATCTGTCTTTACCTTCCCCACCTCTGTGTGGCTGTGGTGCAGCTCGTGATACACTAGCTATGCCCTGATTGTGTGGGCAGCATCTCTGAGCTGGGAGCCTCTGTGCCATCCTCCAGAGCAATCACACTGAGGGTAGGAGAGCCCAGAAGGGGTGTCCAGGCCAGACTAAGTCCAAACCCAGTGTTAAGAGCCCTCTATATGTTGTTTTCCACAGCAGCTGAATCACAGATGCTGTTCCATTAAGTTTGAGATTAGTCAGCCATTGTTAGTGTTTCACACAGTAAAATATTTTAAAAAAAACAGGCATCAGAAGAAAGCAAGCCCGCTGGCTGCTGGGTCTGCCATCCCCCACTGAAGCCTGGCAGTCTGCCTGCTGCCAGGCCTGACAGACAGGCAGAGATGGGAAAACCCCGCATGGCTCTTTTTATTGTGATAGCCCTATATGAAGCTGCAAACATATCTGTCACCTTCCAGCACATTGTTTACCAGCTCTCCTCCACATTCCCCAAACAATATTTTCTAGAGACTGTAATTCAATACCTCACACCCCAGAGCTGTAGCATCAGCCCAGAGAGCAGCATGATGAATGTATTGTGTTCCTCCAGGGCTTGGGCTTGGGAACTGGTTTGTGCTGTTCCAGCTGTTAATTATCCCTCTGCTTTTTGCTATTCTCATCCCACCTGTGCCTCTGTATTTATCATATGGGTCTACATGTACTAAAAACATCCTTACTCTTTAAAGTATAAGGAGTAATTTATTCCTTTTGTGCAACCCAAGGCAGCTCAGGGGACCAAATGGCAAGACTTGATCCGTAAGGCACTCGCTAGATTAGAGGCACTGAGGCTGAGACCTCAGAGTGCTTGTTTAGAAGAAATGCAAGAGAATGAACTAAGGATGTTAAGCACAGGCACAAATACAATTTCCACCACTCTCCCTTTCCCACCCCTTCCCCAGCCTGCATCCTCACACTAATCACTGCTGAGGACACCCTCCAGAGCCAGGCCAGCCCAGGTCAGGCTGCTCAGTGAGGAGAGCTCTTCCTGCCCTCCCAGGCATGGCAGCGCTGTCTCTGACAGCAGCCAGTGCACAGGACAAGCACCCCACTTTGCTGGGAAGCAGCACACCAGCCTCCATCTGTTCAGCCCCAGCAACCACTCAGCAACAAGCACTGCTCTCAGGTGCTGGTTACCCAGGGAGCTGCAGCCATTCCCCAGAACACTCCTGCTCACTCCAACCAGGGCTGGCTGGCTGGCTGGCTTACTCACTCACTCTCCCAGACCTTTAGCTCGTGGGGAGTATAAAAGTTGAGACTGCACACATTCACTTTCATAGCATGCAATCCAAAGGACCACCAGTAATAAGAACAGGCAACTTACAGGTGACAACACCTGTCCTTCATGTGTTTCTGGAGAGTGTATCTCAGACCTTTGTCCACACTGTACTGCACCCTCTCTTTCTCACCACTCCAGTACTGCTGCAGGGATTTCTCATATCTGTGCTGAAGTCTTGTTCTCTGCTTATAATGACAGCTTGGATTTCTTAGGAAACCTGCAGCCTTATGTAACAGCCATGATGTACCCAGCTCAGGATCCATGGCAGGATTGCTGTCCTGCTTTCCTCTAGTGGCCTAGAGGCTTCCTCCCACTGAGGCACCACACATCTCACTCTGTAGAAAAGTGAGGGATAGTTGCTGACCACAAGGACACTTTGATTCTAAGAACCTCATATTGGTAATTAAGACAGGTAATTAAGACCCATGCTGCTACTTCTTGCACTGGGAATTGCTGATATTTAATGACATTTCTTAAATATTTTTAATAGAAATTTCAGGTCTTGTTTCTAATATGGCATTTATCTTCTATTAGCATGAAAACAAATAGAAAGGTCTGAAAATCATTGCCTATACTATAAATTACTTTATTGTTGGTTTTATTACCTTCTCCATTAAGCTGTCACAATCTGTGCCTCTTCCCATTTTTGTGATGGCCAGCCACTGAAATCCATCATGTTTTCCATGTGATTTATACAGGACCCTAGAGATAACTTTATTCACCAGGAGGATAATTATCAGCTATATTATTAAGGCTGCTCAGTTGCCCTAGGGGATAATATGTCAAAAAGGTTAAAATATTGACAAGCAATAAAGTATGTATTATAGTTACACTGGTGCCAGGATAGATAACTGGGTGTGAGCAAGGAACTGAGCTATATCTCTGCATTTTCCCAGTAAAGACAGCAATGATGTGGTCACACTGGACACATCCCTATAAGACTGCAGCAGTCTAGGCCCATCACCTGGAAAGGACCCCAACAAAGGGCCTACCCCTTCTCATTCACATATATTGACCATTTAAGCCCAGACAACTGTGCCTTCAGCGAGTTTCTTTAGGATTCATAATTGAACAGTATGCATAGCTGAAGCAAAGGAGGTTTTTCCACAATCTTTCTGTATTTCTTCCCATGTATCCTAAAAAAGCTTTTCTTCATAAGAATGGCAGAAGGAGAGAGAAGAAAGAACTGACATCTTTGAAACGAAACATTGATTTCTTCTGAGACTGGAGCAGCCAGGTGCATGCCTTATTGGTATCATGGTATATAGGTATAATCTGAAGGACGTTGCTGAGATAAATTGCTCTTTGGTTCAGGCACTAACAAAACGAAGCGCTGAATAACTTGGCACTACATCTGAAGTGAGACCATAAAACTAACCTTGGTCATTCCTCCAGATCTACTATTGTTACATCAAGAAGGCTAGACTGGAGATGGAGGAGCGCATAAATAATTTTTCATGAAAAGCACGTACACCAGCCAGACAAAATCTCTCTCTGAGAAAATGTGGAAAAGTAGTAGACTTAACCTACTTCAAAATGTCATTTTTTGAAGAAAGAAAAAGCCAATCCATGTCTCTTTCTTGATGCTTAAAGGAAGTGTCTGTACTGCAGCAGCATGTTAAGCACCAAGTTCTAGACCTGGCTTTGAGCAGCTGAAAGAACTGGCTGCATCAAACTCTGCCACTTCCCTCCAGTATAATCATATTGGAAATAAATGGTCACATATGGATTAACATGACTGAACAAGAACTGTTAAGACATTTAATAAACTATGTTGGTTACCTTTTTTCTGCTAAAGTGCCAAGGACTACAGAAACTGTATTTAGCGCAGGTTCGTCTACATCTCACTGGATTTGTCCAGGGGAACGTAACTAGTGTAGAGGACTGTGGTCCTAGAGATGAGGGTCAGAGCTCTAGCCCAGCCAGCCTGAGACACCCTGCAGCATTTCTCTGGAATACAAGCTCGTGCTACCCTTTCACTGGCCCTTTGGTCCATGAGTCATGGATGCTGGAGAATTAGAGGTAATTCAACAAAATATCATTTCTGTTCACCACAAGCACAAAAGTGAGAGCCTTTGGCTTTCTTCTCTTATTCAGAACCAAGAAGCCTGGTGCTATAGATGCAGCCTACAGATGCTCATGTGCTCATGAGCAACAGTCTTTCAACCCAAGTGGTACAAGACATACCCCTGGGGCAATAAGCAGATTCAAGGGCCCTACAGTAACTACAAATCATGCCAAAAAAATTAGCTATAGTGAGCCCACAAGGCACTCCAGCTCCCCTCTGCAGGCTCCTTGGAGTCCCACAGGAGATTCTTAATACAGCTCTGGAGGAGAAGCTCTGTTCTCACAACTACATCTGTCTCCAGGCTTAATGTTTACCCTAGAGCTGGAAAACTTATTTCTGCAGCACTCTGCTCAGGGCTTCAAACAACAAAACCTCTGCAAGGGCCACCAGGGAGCTTGCCTTCCTGCCTGCTCCCCAAGTTTTTCCTCCTCCATCCAAGGAGTTGGCTGGCATTCAGCAAGGTATCAGAGCCAAGCCTGACTTGAGGACCTCATGTGTCACCCCCAATGCCAGCTCTAGCACAAACACACCAAAGTCCTCAGAGCATGCCATTTGTTCCCCATGCAAGGGGATTTCCACAGAGGCATCACTGCAGCCAGCTTCCTCACACAGGAAGGAAGGATGAACCCCCAGAAAGGCTCCTTTTCTCGAAAATTTGTTGTTAACTTCCCTGATGACCCCCACACCATGCACTACAGGAGGTGTTAAAACATGGACCTGGACAACCAAGAGTTTCCTCAGATGACAGCTTTGTGGAACTGATTTGGAGAATGTCTGGTTCAGCCTGGCCACAGCTGGTACTGCCCAACACCCTGTGACAGGATGAGCAAGACATGAGCAGCGTGAGCTGCAACAGAAGCTCATTTGGTCCACAGGCACCTCGGGAACAGAATGTGTTTTACAGTGTCATATCAGCACACAGGGAACAGATGACATAAACGGAGGTGAATTAAAACCCACATCTCATGAGAGCAGTGGCTGTGCTTGCAGCATCTGCTCAGCCTGCAGCTTCAAAGCAGTGCTACCATTTACAAAAGGTTCATCTTCACCTTTTGTTTGTAAATCCTGGAACTCACCTTCTTAAGGAAAAGTCTGGAACAGCAGAAGTCTTGTACCTCTTCCACACCTCCCCCAGTGTATTCTTCTCTGATGCATTACAGATCATCTCCAGGAGAGATACATCTGCATTACAAAGCATGAATACTCCTTTCAATAACAGACATGTCCACCACATGCCTGACAGCAGGAGACAGAGTATTTCATTTGCATCACCTGCTCCCACCAGCTCAGCCTGCTCAGGGCAGCGACCCTAAGAGGTGTTTCCTAGGTATGCCACAGGGAGCAAGAGCACTGGGTTATGTGGTAGGAGTTTTCCTGTACTTGGCTTTGGTCCATTATTTAAAATGTCCAGCCAAAACCACATCAGCCTGGGGAAGGCACAGGGAGATGGTCACTATATCTTCTCTCCTACCAGAAGCACTGAAGGCTGAACTCTCTCCTCATTTGCAAGAAACACTTCATATTTACTGACAGAGGATGAGACAACACAGACTCTTAGAGGAAAGCATGATTAAAAAACACACCATCCGTGGCACAATGTATACAAATGCTGACGTTGGCTCTCTGAATGCCATCATCTAGCATTATAATACTTTGCAGACCACCAGAAGACTATCTCCACAGGACTATTACCTCTGACACCTGATAAAACCTCTTCTGAAGTATTTTCTTCCCATTGTGCCTTGCAGATATTTCCATTTTTAATTTGTCAGAGACAAATAACAGCATCACTGAAAATTCTTCAATAACACTCTGTTTACTGCCAGATCTCCTTTCTCAGCTAGTACTGGTTACATTTACCCTTGTTTATCGGATGGGCAAGCTACAGCCCAGGCCCTTGGTTTAGGTTAGTATTAGAAACATGTTCCAATAAAAATCAACTTTATATTATTGAAAGTTCTGTAGCTATGAAAAGATGGGAAACATGAAGTCATCTCACAGCACATGGGTCTCTGGCACTGGGCTACAACACAAGACTGGAGAGCACTGATGGTGTAAAGTCACTTCCCCACTCAGCTTCTGCCACAGAACCTGCAGCCAGAATGTACCTGATCGCATGCAGGTCACAAGTCTCTGTCTTTACAGGGTTGCAGCTGCTGAGAATATACAAATCACTCAGTGCATCTTCAGGGAACCCAATAGCACAGGGCTGGGAAATTCCTCCTACCAGCTGCTGTCCATTTTTGTTATAGTCAGCATAGATCCAGGAATCAATATTACTGCTTGTAGGAATTACAAGCATTAAGGATGTTAGATAGAAGGTGAACTTGTCCTTTCCTAGAGCTAAATGTCTCTTCATGGCACTTGAGCAGCCTAGCAGTAATCTGCCCTTGCTGGATGTACAATCACAGGGGCTCTGCCAGCACTATAAACAGATGTGGAGAGCAGAACCAGCACCTCAGGGGACAGTACAGCAGAAGAGCAGATGGCTCTCTTCCTCATGGGATACCATCAGATTGAAATAAAAAACACAGAGCAAAGGTGTCCCATGCTCTTAAGGGAGGCAGAAATTTCATGATTCACCTATACTGGACACAGAAGCACTGCTGTCAGATCTCCAGTCTTCACAGCCCACAGACCCCTACCTCCACAGCAAGTCCACTTCTACTAAGATAAATATAATGAGGTGTTTTGTCCTGCCAAGCTCACCAGTAAGAAGAAACAAAATTACTTGTCCCTGTTTCCTTCAGTGAGCTGTGAACACACTTCTGATACAGCCCTTTGACAATGGCATCCTTGCTGCACTTGAGACTGGCAAGTCTATGTTAGTGACCTCACAGTGTCCCCCTGAGTAAGTGCAGGGCAGGTTTCCAAATCTGCAGACTGTTAACCTTGGAGAGTTGCGTGGGCCAAGTAGAAAGTATAGGAGGGATTCTTCCTCCTAAAATTAAATAAACCTTATGTGAAAAATGCCATTTTGAGTGTCTTGAGCTATCAGTTGCAGAAGAAAGTGATATTGATTTCTACAGAAACTTTGAGTAGCCTATTAAATGAAACGTATTTGACACCAGATGACTCCTGCAATTTAATTCCTGAGTGAAGTGTTGTCTCCAAGGCTTTGTCATGTTCTTTAACCTGAATGATGAAAGGCATTTTCCTTACAATCATTTGCTGATGGATCTCAGGGTCTTTGCAAATAAAGTCCTCCAAAGAAACCAGAACATGCTTTCACTGGCAAAGTGCAGCTGATATCCCAGCTACGCCAGAACATACCAGGCTTTAGGAGTAAAGCTAAAGGTGCAAAGAGCCTGAGAAGAACCACCAGGCTCTGCAGCTTCCACCTGAACAAAACAAAAGTGCTGAGAAAAGCCCCAGGATCCAAGAGCTCAGTGGCCACAGGTGTCACAGTCCTGCCTCAGCCAACTCATGCCAGGACAGCACAGCTCAGGGCTGAGGTATGCTCAGACCTCAAAACCTCCTCCCCCTCCTACTGCACATTTCTATCCCCAAGTGCCTCAAGGCAAAGCTAGAGCTGCAGAGACATTTGCTTTTCAGTCCAGCCCCCTCTGCATTAAACCTTGAAGACTTGTTAGGTAGCTATGATCATGAAGATGCCTGTCATGCTTCAGGGGCCACTCATTTCTTCTCAGCAAACCTTTTACACAGTTTGGTTTTTTTTCAAAAAAGCCAATTTAACTTTTTTTTTTAAATTTGCAAGGAACAAGGAACAATTAAATAGCAAAATGTCAGATTCCATTTCTTTCATCAAAATGGCTTAGTCATGTCTGGATTGTCAGCACTAACAACCCTGGTCCTTTGGTGCTCACAGCCCCAAGAGCTCATGCTGCAGCACCAGACCGGCTGTGCTCTGGCACATGCCTTGCAAGGGCTGCTTGTGCTGCAGGCTGAGTGTCAGTGGTCCTTCTCACTCAGAAGGCCCTCCCAAGGGCCCTGCATGGGCAGAGACACACCTACCTATTCCCTTCACTCCCTCTGTTCTCAAAGAAACAGGAGCTAAGACTGCCTCAAGTTTTGAGAAGACTTTTCTATCTGTGTGTGGCACGAGAGGGAGGAAGAGCACTGTGTCTGCATACAGGAGGAGCCTTCTATGGTGCTCTGAACAACGTGTAGGTCAGGCAAAGCCACAGCTTGGTTGTAAAAGTGCTCATGGGAGTTCCACGAAGTTCTGGAGCTCAGCAAACACCTCAAGCAAGATTAAGGAGGGGGACAAAAGCACTGCCTGTGGTTCTGGGTTAGATGGCAAAGTCTCTCACTGGATGCTGAGCACTGCCTGAGGAGCTGCTCCCTCCCAGTCATTGTCAGCAAGCATCCTGGGGCACAGACAGCAGGCAGAGGCCACAGGGCACTCAGCTCCCCAGGACCATCATTGCAGCACTGTGGCCACAAGCACCTGTGTCCTGCCTGCTGTCCCATCCCTGGCCTGTTCAAGAGACAGTAGAGCCCAGACACCAAATGTCTTCTCCTGCAGCCATCCATCCATCCATCCATCCATCCATCCATCCATCCATCCATCCAGCTTCTATAAACCTACTTTGTACATTTCCCCTAATTTCAGTTCAGTCATGGCAGATCAGCCCACAAGATCTGAATGTAATTTTCTCATTGAGTTATACTAGGTCTTTCAGGGAAGGAGACAAAACGGTGCAAAATCCATAAAAATTAGAGTAAAATTTCTATTCTGCATTTTTACATTTTATTATTATTTAGAGTTAACCCTTTCTACTTCCAAATCATTAACAATTTTATATTCCATTATCAGATAGGAGCCTTAAGCTACACAAAACATGAGATCACTGTGTTTCATATATACATGAGCTAAAATATAACAGGGCACCCAGTGGTCATTGCTTCTCAGAACAAGGCCCAGAATAATCAATTTGCTCAAGGCACACTACAGTCTGCTTGTTCAAAGAGGACACAATGACACAGACGATACCTGGATTCCACTGCAATGCACCCAACTCAGCTCAGAATGTTTCACCCTCTGTGAACAGAGCTACTCCCTCTGTTCCCAGGGTCATCTCCATCAAATTTAAACACAACAGCTGGGAATCCGTGACCTAAGAACTTGGACTTTAAATACTGCAGCCCAAAAAAATCAGAAGAGCAAGCTTAAAACAGATAAGATCTCAGCTAAGATGCACAGAGCACCACTGCTTGTCAGCAGCAGTGGAGGCTAGCCGGAACTGCTTTCTTGCAAAGCACTACATATGTGTTGTCATTCCAGAGACAGAAACTGGGCTTGACGGATGCAAAGTTAAAATGACCCTTTCCATGTTAGCTGCCTGAGGGCTGGCAAGCAGTCACTGTTTTCACAACTGGCCTGTCTGCTGGGAACCTGCAGGACATCTCCTGCCCTCATGAGAGTCCAGCCAAAGCCAGAGCCACTGCCTCTTCCCACTGCACCAATCCAGCTAGGTGCTGTGCTCCTAAGACAACTCACACCACAGGAGTTATTCTAAGATCAGCCCAACCTTCAGGAGGGAGTACCTGGAAAGCTCACTAAAGTCTCAGAGAGAACAGCAAAGCAGAACAAAGGCTCACCTAGTTCTCTTCACTCCCGATGGCAATGCCTGGCAGCCCAGGATCCTGTCAGTTCAGCTCCCATTGGACCAGAATCTACACCACTCTGAAGAAGAATGAGGTTTTCCTGGTAGAACACAAGACGTGCTGTCGCAGAGAGGAGCAACCAGTCTAACCACCCTGTCAGGTCAAAGCAGCAACTCCTGCCAGAGACCAGCAATTTGCCACTGAAGCCAATTCCTGCCAAAGGTGTTGGGGTGCTGCTGGAGCCTGTTACACTCAACATCCAGCTGATGGGCTGCTGCACAGATCTCTCACAGCTGTGTACTGATCACTGATGGAGTATATCCTTAAAGACAGGTTTCCATCATTCAGTATGTTTGGTTTCTCTTCCTGCTGCCTTTCCAGATGCCAAGCCTTCTTTAAAAAGAAAGCACACAAATCAGCATTTAATTTATAAAACATTACTTTCTTTCTGAAATTTCAGCAAAGCTGAAACTTGACTCCATCAGCTTCATTTACTCTACAAGTAATTAATTTGCTTCATTCAAGTGGTACCTTGGGAAAGACAACAAGTCACAAACATATTCACCTGTTAATAAAAAACAGACAAAGTAAATAATTCAAGAGGTTTAAAAATAAATTCACACATTCATAGAAGCAGACTTCCAAGCTTCTTTTCATCTCCTCTTTGCAGCACCCTGCTGTATGTAATAGAACAGTGATACAAATACAAAGGGAGAGAGCACAGAACAAGTCCTGGGCTTGACTCACTTGGAAACCAAAGGAGTCTGTTTGCAGGGACAGAGCCCTGTGGAATACACACAAAGGCTCCTGGATTTGCAGTTGGGCCCAAAAGAACCAGACCCTTGATATTCTGGGAAAAAATGCAGGCTTTCAAAGCAGATCAAGCTCTCTTGACTGGATGGGGAGGGAACCTGCAGTGCTCCATGAAAGGGGATATACAGCTGTGTTGTCTAACAGGAACCACATCAGCTTTGCTGCTGCATTTATGATGCAGCATTCATTACTACTGTGGTTCCAACTGGTACTTTTGAGCCCTACATTTATTCTCAGCATCCTTACTAGAATGAAATAGTACTGCAGGTGCATCCATAAGGGGGCTGGCTGCCCCTGTTCTTCCCGAGGTTCTGTGTGTTTCTGAAGGATGCCAGGAGAGTGGCACGTGCCTGGCTCCGCTGCCATGGACCTCTGTCCTAGGTAGGGCCTGGGACTGTTCAGGGCTGGGTGCTGGCAGACCTCACCATAGTCCTTTACCCAGGAAGACACTGCTCAGGGGCTTGCCCCAGAAGACTGTCCCTTCAGCAGTTAAAAAGCATTTCAGAAATGATGGGATTGGAGATCATCCCTAGAAAGAAGGAGGAAGAGTCTTTCCCGGCTCCACTATGCCCAGGAAACCGAGGCACTAATGCTACACAGGACTGATGTTCCTTCCACCTACCAGTATGTGCCTGAGTTTTCTGTACAGAACTGGGAAGACATAATTCCTAATACCAGGTAATAATGACCCAGGACTTAGTATCTTCAAAATCTGTAGAATTTTATTTCCTAGAGTGTTTGAAAATTACTCTTCGCTAATGGCTAGCTAAATGTCTTTTAACATCTTTCTAGGGGTGTGTCAAGTAGCTCAGAGTAGTCACCATTCCTTGGGGGAGAGGAGTCCCCAGTTCAGCACTCACAGGCTGAGGCAGAGAGTTGTGCAGAGACAGAGTCCCAGCAAAGTAGACAGAACTGCCTTTAAAGTAGACAGAAATCAGGTGGGATTTTGCCTATAGTATTCCCAGTGTTGATCTTTTTTTTTTATCTCCCTTGCCATCTACCAAGGTATCCTCTCCACTTACAGGTCAATCTGACTTATTTTTGAGAAATCGTTTTTTTTCCTCTTTGGTAGGAGCAGCAGCAAGAGTGGGAAGGTCTTTGGCACCTAAGCTAGAACTCCCTGCAATGCCCTCTTGAGGAAATCAAGAGGATTCTCATCACATGAACTTAAATATACCAACCTCATACAACAAAACAAGTGAAGACACCTTCCAGCAAAGAACAAGAAATGGCAATTTCTGGCAGATCCATCCAGAGCAGTGATAGCATATTATTCTTCAGAGCAGTTTCTATGCTCAAAAGAACATCCCGCTGTACCTGAGACAGTGTCAGATACCTCCATGGCACAAAGGAACCATATGGATGTTACTATACACTTCCCAAAGATTTTGTGCTGAACCCCGAGTTGGGCAGCTCTGTGGCAGGATACTCTCACCCCTCATCAACCACATGAGCATGTGGCTTCCTGAAAAGACTGTGTTTTATCTCTCACTACATGAAGGGTTCCCGTTTTCTCTTAGTTCAGTGTACACATATCCGTACTGAACAGCACTTTGTTCACATGCTGCCTGCTTTCTCAAAGTCTTAAAACAAAATCCTTCCAGTGTGTGCTGACAAGAGACAGGGTCCCAGCAGACCTGCAGCACCAAACACTTGGACTTTGAGATGCAGGCCAGATGGAGCAGACAGCCAGTGTTCAGACTGACAAAAAAGGGATTCTGTTAGCATCTCCTGCGGGGACTGGACAACCAGCACTCTTTGGGCCAATGAAAACTCTCACAGTTGGCTGTGACGGAGAGGAAGAAACTCCATTATGAACGTAGTTCCCTGAAAGTGTTCCTCCTTGCAGGATACAAAGAAATCAGGTAGCTGTGGGTGCCCCTCTTGGGGTGTGCAGTAGGAGCAGGGTGGCTCAGGTTATGCTGCTTCGTGTCCCATGATGATGGCTGAACACTGGGGATCTCACAGGAGCTGGCTGAGCCAAAACTGAAGAGAAGTGGTAAAGATGTGCTCGGGATCTAGCACAGAGGCAAGATGGAGTGGATCTGGAAGCCTGGCACAGAGCCCTGTGGTTATCTGGTAGGGGTGAGGGAAGAGGAGCCCTGTGTCAGCACAGCCAGGAGTTATGTTGGAACTGCTCTCAGTCTGCCTCAGCAGCCACCATCCCTCTGCTTGGGAGCAGGAAGAAGGGCTCCTCTATGACAGAATTTCATTTGGTCTCTTTTGTAATCCCAGCAACAAGATGGAAGCAGATAATGTGCAATTTGTTTTAATTCAGCTTTATCTTGTCAGTCCTAGCTATAACACTGCAGCAAACATCATTCTGAAGAATAAAGATGTGATGGAGCAGGATGAGATTCTGCAAACCATATTGATTACATCACAAGTCATCACTATAAATATTTGAAGGAGAGAAAAACTCTTGATCTAAACATGTTCATTTAACAAAATGTGCTATTGAGAGTGAGTGAGAGATGGCTCTAACAGGACAGGGATGTTAGAAAGTAAAGCATTTAAGCTGCTTACCTTTCAACCTAAATACATTATAAACATCCATTAAATGGAACATTGTGGAACTTACACTGTGAGAAGAGGAATAAAAAAGGCTCACTGTGCAGGAGCCTAAGAAGCATGTGAATGAAGTATGTCACAAAGAAAGCACTGTGTTCCTAATCACTACAGAGAAACTAAAGTACTTTCTACAGCTCCTTTTGGGGCCAAGAACTGCCCCAAAAGAACTGTAAAAATGAGGAAGCCTAGAATTGCTGGGTGGAGAAGGGTGCTACAACCATTACAGACAGGAGAACACCAGTGTAGCACAGCAAACTCTGCTCAGTGTTCCAGGTTTGCTGTTGTGCCAACACTTCTCACTGTGCAGGAAGCAGAGAACAGGCATGTCTGGTAATCCCTGGCCTGGGGGCCATTGGAAAAACCCTGGACTCTCGCTCTTCTTCAGAATAAAGTCAAATTCTTGGAAAAGACAATGCATGCTGGCATCACAGCAGTCAGTAGCAGCTGAGGGTTCTCACCAGGTCTGCAGAAGTGATGTACACAGCCAGTGGCTGCCCTCACACAGCCAGCATCTGTGGCCACAAAGCCTGATTCATTCAGTCAGTTTGTATTGATCCTATTTTTATTATTTTTATGACAAATTAATTGTGAGGCAATTTTTTCCTCTGTTTAAACTTGGGAAGATACTGTTCAAGGACTTGTGACACTTCTGACAACTTTACTGGGTAATAGCCACAGATAGTGTAGGTGTGCAGAGACATTCAGACCTTTTATACTATGTGTGTTCCCATAAAAATTACTTAGTTTAAAGCATTATTCTAGCATTGTTGTGATTATACCACAGGACCAAGCAGCCTAAAAGGCAGATGTGAACTGAAGGCAGATCAGTAATTGTCCTCCATGCCCAGAAGGGAGAAGCCAGACTGGTATCTGCCTGCAAAAGCAGACAGCATGGAAGAGGAAAGAAGAGCTTTGCTCAAGTTCAATCAACAAATTATATGCAGATATCCCAACTCTCATGGGGAACAGCCATATCATATTTCCATGGCATCCTAAGCCAAATATGGCTCTTCTGTCACTGGAGGCACATTCTGCCCATGACAATGTCCCTGACACAAGCTGTGGAAGTGCCCAGGCAGACAGTACTGGGGCTGCCCTTCAGTATGGCATAGCCAGAGCTCATGGCCCTCTGAGGCCTCTGGTACCTCATCCCTGCCCCCAGATCTCCTAAAACAGTGTCCAAAAACATGGTGTGCTGCTGCTGTGAGCACCTACTCATGCAGACAGCAAGTTCTGTTCATGGCACAGCTTCACAAGATGATCACTGAGGGCTCTCCTATCGTTTAGAATGTTTTAAAAGACTCCAATGTGTGCAGCTTGGAGGGGTTTTGATCCGACTGTTTGTAAAGCAAAGGACAGTCCCACTTAAAAGCAAAACTGAAGGTATAATTTATGATATTACCATCCCTGCTATTCTAATTCCAAAGGAGAAACAGTGTTGTTGTTAGCCTGTACCACTACCATTAGTTAATTCTCACACACCAGTTCTAACTGGATATCAGATAATTTATAGATTTGATTGTTTTTTATTTTGTCAGCAGTTTCAGAACCCCATCTAGCCAGAAGTGAAAAAGTTAAAATGTTCTCCCAGGTATGGAAGGCTCAGGTAGGCACTGGTAAGGGAAGATAACGAGGAAGATCATTGATGATTGCAAAAACAAAGAACAGATGTTCCACATATTAAGGAGCTGTTAAATGTCATTCCAGTGACTTGTGGCAGTGGCACACTCAAATGACAAAGATTACCTGTTCAAGCAAGGTCACTTCTGCTTCAACATAATTGGTTATACCAGGATTGATAAAGAAGAAAAAATAAACCTGGCAATGAAGCATCATTACCTCATCACAACATTATCTCCTTGAGTTCAGGCTTCCCCAAAATCCCGGAAGAGTCCAGTTCATACACAGCACAAGATTTTGTTCCTTCCTTTTCTGTGATACAGATATTCCTCTTAGTTCCCATCATTTTAGAATCCTCTTTGCTTTTAATCTTAGGGTTTTTTTAATAG